AGGGCGGCGCGGCGCCGCCCCGTGCTGGCCTGCCACTGCCAGAGCATCAACCTCTTCGTGGAGAGTTTCCTCAAGATGGTGGCCAAGCTGCTCGAGTCCGAGAAGCCCAACCTGCAGATCCTGGGAACCAACTCGGTGAGCGGCCCGCGGAGCTGGCGCGCGCGGCGCGGGGACCCCCCGGCTTTGCAGCCTCCTCCTCCTGCTCCGGCTTTCCTGTCCCAAAGGAGCCCGGGGCCGTCAGCGCTTTGGGGACAACAGGGCCATTTAGGAAGTGATTCCTGGGAATTTTGGGAGCTGCTCTGGAAAGGGGCGGCTTCCACTCGGCAGCAGCAGGGAAAGCGCCGGCGGTTTGGGGAGCACCGACCTGCCGGGGTCCTGCAGCCGGGGGGATCCCAGGCTTTTTGCTGGGAGCACTGGGGATGCTGGATGGGCCGGCTCGATGCACTCGGAAGCGGGCCGGGTGCTGCCGGGCATCCCGAGCATCCCTCCCTGGCACTCGGCGAGGATTGAGATCCTCTTTGGGCAGGATGGAGTGGCTGGAGACCCCGGGAAATGGGGGGAAATGCAGGGAAATGCAGGGAAATGCAGGGAAACGCCATTTCAGCCTTCAGATTCGGGGTCTCAGGGACACTCGTGGTCGCAGCCCGCGGGCCACCCAACACGGAGCACCGGCCTCGCTCCCCGCTTCCCTCCCCTTTGCCCATCGGCAAAGCTATTAATCCGCAGCATCGACCGCTCGCTCGGAGCTGGCAGCCTGCCGGGGCCTCGGCACGGCGCCTCCCGGGGAAGCCCAGGTGGGAATTTGGGGAATGCAAAGCCTGGGCAGCGCCTCCCTCCTTGGGCTTCCCAGCTCCGTGCCTCTCCCGGTTTATTTTTATTTTCCCCTCGGATCGACGCCGGGCTTTAATTTAAGCAGCTCTTCCCCCTCCGTCTGACGTGTTGGTGTCTGGTGTATTTATAGCCGGCCGCGTTTTCCCTCCACAGCCACCACGTTGCTGCTCGCGCTGCCGCTCAGAGCCGACACGGGAATCTCCCCCCGTCTCTTTGCTTGCTGCGGTGGGGGACAAACCAGTGCAGGCCTGACCCCCTCCCTTTCTCCTTCCTTCCCAGTTTGTGAAGTTTGCCAACATCGAGGAGGACACGCCGTCCTACCACCGCAGCTACGACTTCTTCGTGTCCCGCTTCAGCGAGATGTGCCACTCCAGCCACGACGACCCGGACGTCCGCACCAAGTGAGCGCGGGACAGCCCGGCTCCTGGCGGGGTGTCCGGGGCCGGGCTCGGGACCTCTCGCTGCACGGGGAGGTCTTTACCAATGACTGGGCATGTTCGAAGCCCAAAATGACCCGGGTGGCAAAAGGCATCGAGGTTTCCTCGGCTGCTTGCACAGCTTCAGCCTTGCCTCTGTGTGCATCACAGAATCCAGAATGGTTGAGGCTGGAAGGGACCTCTAGGGATCACCCAGTGCAACCCCTGCTCCAGCAGGGACACCCAGAGCACGGGGCACAGGGGGCATCCAGGCGGGTTGGACATCTCCAGAGAAGGAGCCTCCACAGCCTCTCTGGGCAGCCTGTGCCAGGGCTCGGGCACCCTCACACCAAGGAAGTTCTTCCTCACATGGACATGGAACTTCCTATGTTTCAACTTGCACCCATGATATGCATATGTATATAAATATAAAACATGTATTTTTTATATATCTATCGCTATATATATCTATGTGTAACATCATTGTGTCAATCTGTCCCACAGAATCCGGATGTCTGGCATCAAAGGCCTGCAAGGAGTGGTGAGGAAGACGGTGAACGACGAGCTCCAAGCCAACATCTGGGACCCGCAGCACATGGACAAGATCGTTCCCTCGCTGCTCTTCAACCTGCAGCACGCTGAGGAGGCCGAGAGGTGAGAGAGAGCCCCGTTACCCGCCTGCTTCTTGCACGGGGTGACCCCGCGACGGGCCCATGGGGACGTTACCCCCTGCCCTCGCGCCCCGCAGCCGCTCGCCCTCGCCGCTGCAAGCCTCCGAGAAGGAGAAGGAGAGTCCCACGGAGCTGGCCGAGCGCTGCCTGCGGGAGCTGCTGGGCCGGGCGGCCTATGGCAACATCAAGAACGCCATCAAGCCCGTCCTCATGTGAGTGCCGTCCTCATGGGAGTCCTGTCCCCGTGTGAGAACCATCCCCGTGCAAGTTCCGCACGCCTCGTTTTGGGAAACTGAGGCACGGAGGACAGGGCAGCCCGTTGGTCCCTGCCGCTCCGGGCCACCCCTGGGGGTTCAAGGCCCCTCCGGTCCCCTGCTCCGTCCCTCCCTGACGTTGTCTCTCTGCAGCCACCTGGATAACCACACGCTGTGGGAGCCCAAGGTCTTCGCCATCCGCTGCTTCAAGATCATCATGTACTCGATCCAGGTGGGCGGCCGGCAGGTTAATGGGCCCCCCAGCCTGTCCCCAAAGCCCCCAGACCCTCAGCAGGTTCGGGATGCCCAAGATGGGGTGCTCCCCCCTTGCCAGCAGCCCTCGACCTGCTCCGTTTCCCCTTTTCCCGCACGGATCCTTCTCCTCCTCCTAGTGGATCTGCTCAGGGGCTGCTTCCAAGCGATGGCGCACTGCCCCTCTCCCCGGCTCTCGCGTTGTCTTTCTAATCCCGTAAACTGCCTAAAGCCGGATCTGCTCAGGGGCTGCTTCCAAGCGATGGCGCACTGCCCCTCTCCCCGGCTCTCGCGTTGTCTTTCTAATCCCGTAAACTGCCTAAAGCCCTTTACGGCACGATGGGATTTTGCAAAATCCCGTTAACGCATCTTCCACGCAGGGGGTCGCGGCAGCGCGGCAGGGGCCCTCACAAAGCAGAGACGCGTTGGGGAAACCTGAGCAAAACCCAAATCCCTTCACCCTGGCATCCCCCGGATTACCTGCTGCATCCGTAGATCCACACAGCCCCTTAGGATGGTTTCTCCAGGACAAACTGCTCTTTGCTCCTTGGTGTCAAACCGACTTTGTCAGTGGAGGAGCCGGGCAGCCGCGGGCTGCTCAGTGCCCTGCAGCGGCCCGGCCCCGACGCCGTCGCTCCCCC